ATTAAACGAAGACGTTCGGGTCTGACTTGGACCATTAATTAATCACACTGTTAATGTGCGGGTTATTTGCGTGTTGTTCCAGTCACTGTAATGCGCCTTTTATTCTCTCTTCAATTACGTTTTATCAGATTCGTTTGAACACATCTGCATAATATTAAGGATCATCCCTCTAAATTTTTCTCAAGGTAAAGAGGGCCGCGTTTAAGAACAATAATTTAAGAGCGTTAGACATATGCTCAACACTTTAGTTATGTATGAACAGTGTGTGTTCAGCACTGAACATACACTTGCAGTGTGTTCAGTGCTCTCAGTAGATCGTATTACGTAGTGCTCCTTAATCAGTAGGTTAATTCTCTCACCCTCTGTACATTCTCCAGTATCACTGTATTCAAACCACGGTACGGGTGGGGTTAGAACCCACAGCAAGCGATTCGTAAAACTCCAGACTTTGAGGGAACAGGAGCTAGAGTTCGTCACTGCCACGCTGGAGGGAGATTCATCTATAAAAACTTGCATATGTGATCGCAGTGGGGCCCGTGCTACCCTCCCAATGGTGTATAAATACACCTAGTTGGATGTAACCATACCACGGCCGGATTGAACCCGCGGTCAGAGAGTCTCAAAACTCCAGACCGTCGCGTTACCCACTGGTATGGTTTGTTTGCAATCGTGTCATTACGATTTCGTGAGTCTAGTTGGATGAAGATTATTGTAGCCAGCTGGCCCAGTAGCTTGCGCACTAGTCTGGAGTCGACTCATTTGCTATGGGTTCACTTCGAACCCCCACCCGTACCGTGGTTTGTTTGCAATCGTGTCATTACGATTTCGTGAGTCCTTTGTATTCATTCTCTATTATGGAGCTCAGAAGTGAGCTGCTTAATCTAAGGGAAGCCTTATTAATAATAAATTGAGCTACTCTTGACGTTCGGCATTACCCAGTCTATATTTTGAACAATAAGGGGCCCAAGGCTGATCCTTACGGAACGCCACGTGTGACCGATCCCATTCTTATTTTATGTTATTCATGCATGATTTACGATAACAGCACTCCACGCTCTCTCGCTTCTCACAGTGAAGGTAGCCAGAAGCGTAGATGGTCTGTGTAGTGTCATTTAAGTCTGGAGGTCGTGAATGTGTTCCAAAGCACTTAGTGAGGCCGTGAATGTGCTTCAAGGTACTGAGTTTAGTCTGGAGGTCGTGAATGTGTTTTAAAACAGTTTAGTCTGGAGGTCGTGAACGTGTTCCAAAGCACTTAGTGAGGTCGTGAATGTGTTTTAAAACAATTTAGTCTGGAGGTCGTGAATGTGTACCGAAGCACTTAGTGAGGCCGTGAATGTGCTTCAAGGTACTGAGTTTAGTCTGGAGGTCGTGAATGTGTTTTAAAACAGTTTAGTCTAGAGGTCGTGAATGTGTACCGAAGCACTTAGTGAGGCCGTGAATGTGCTTCAAGGTACTGAGTTTAGTCTGGAGGTCGTGAATGTGTTTTAAAACAGTTTAGTCTGGAGGTCGTGAATGTGTACCGAAGCACTTAGTGAGGCCGTGAATGTGCTTGAAGGTACTGAGTTTAGTCTGGAGGTCGTAAATGTGTTTCAGGGTAATGAGTTTACGACATTTTTTCGAAGATTTCATCCCGTGGTTTCACAAAGATAGGGAAAACACTGAGGATGTGGAGGAGGCGGTGGGGATTTAGTGCACCATTGAGTGGTGAAGCTGCCACAACTATCACACCTCCCGCAGCCAGCTGACCTACCTTCCTCCTCACCACAATTACCACACCTCCAGCAGCCTTCTGACCTACCTCCTCACCGCAACTCACGCACCCTCCTGACCCACCTACCTGCTTACCACATTTACAGCAACTCCCGCAGCTTCCTCACCTACTTATCTTCTCATCTTGTCGCTCGGGCTGATTTATTACCTAATTGTGGTTGATCCTCTCAGCAGCTGATCTTTTGAGCATCTGATTCTGTGAGCAGTTGGTCCCGTGAACACCTGATCCCGTGAGTAGTTGATTATGTGAGTAACTGATCCTATGACCAGTTGATCTTATAAGTAACTGATCCTGTGAGTCAAACAAAGAATAAGATTACAAATGTCACAAAGAATTTTGTGAGATCCCAGGGGGCATAGTAACTATATAACTATGGCCAGTAACTAGGTGACTATGACCATAGTAATTATGTAACTATGGCCATAGTAACTATGTAACTATAGCCATATTTACATGGGTGTTTGTCAGCCCAATGAGATCTGACAAACACCCATTTCTTTCTCTGTTCCATTCTATCTCAGTTTCCCTTGCCTACCCGGAGGTCGTTTACACCCCTTTAAAATTTAAGGTTATTTTTCCCTAGTTATATTAGTAATTGTAGGGGAGCACCAAGCGTCACGACCGCACGTACAGGCAGCCCAACTAAGAGGTAAATGGCCCTCCTGTGTTAGTATAGGGACGAAGCTAAGAACGTGGTCTGTGAAATACTAAGTAAGTAACTAACCTGTAAAAGGTCTAAGTCGGACCATTTACAGGTCAGGTTATTTGATACTAAGAATATAAGGTTTAAGGCAGATAATTACTATAGATCGTTAAACGGTCAACCATTTGACTGTCTTAAGTGTCCCGAAGCTCGATTGCTAGAGCACTCAGCTCACACATAGAGGTCCGTGGGTCGATCCCAGGTACGGGTAAGATAAGATAAGATAAGATAAGATTTCGTTCGGATTTTTAACCCCGGAGGGTTAGCCACCCAGGATAACCCAAGAAAGTCAGTGCGTCATCGAGGACTGTCTAACTTATTTCCATTGGGGTCCTTAATCTTGTCCCCCAGGATGCGACCCACACCAGTCGACTAACACCCAGGTACCTATTTGCTGCTAGGTGAACAGGACAACAGGTGTAAGGAAACGTGTCGAAATGTTTCCACCCGCCGGGAATCGAACCCGGGCCCTCCGTGTGTGAAGCGGGAGCTTTTCCTTAAGATACCTGTTGTCCCTGTTCACCTAGCAGTAAAATAAGTACCTGAGTGTTAGTCGACTGGTGTGGGTCGCATCCTGGGACAAAAATGACCTAATTTGCCCGAAATGCTCTGCATAACTAGGGACTTTCTATATAGTAGGTCACTGATCAGCTATGGTCTGTATACCTTGTACATGTACTTGTAGAAATAAAGATTATCATCATCATCATCATCATCATGATCATCATCATCATCATCATCTTCAGAGGAGGAGGAGGGGCTGGAGGTGACGAGTGCCTGGCCAGTTGTAAGATGACTGCGGTTACCAGTTCTGCTGACACCGCCAAAAACCTGCTGAGGGAGGCCACCACCACACACCACAGACACTAGCCTAGGAGTCTATCTCACACATATACTAACACACTCAAAACATGTACATCACCCCCATCCCCACACACACACACACACATACACAATGACACAGGATGTGCCAGAGATGGGACACAGAAACAAGGGGTCACAATTGGAAGTTGAAGACTCAGATGAGTCAAAGGGATGTTAGGAAGTATTTCTTCAGTCATAGAGTTGTCAGAAAGTGGAATAGTCTGGCGAGTGAGGTAGTGGAGGCAGGAACCATACATAGTTTTAAGACGAGGTTTGATAAAGCTTATGGAGCAGGGAGAGAGAGGACCTAGTAACGACCAGTGAAGAGGCGGGGGCCAGGAGCTGTGAATCAACCCCTGGAACCACAAGTGAGTGAGTACAATTAGGTGAGTACATACATTTTCACAACACTCCAGCTCTCTCTCCTTAAACGGTGTGTTGTGTTTTCAGTAACTTTCCCAAGAGTCCTGGATGAAACCAACCGGTTATCCATGATTATTATTATTATTATTGTTATTACTATTATTATTATTATTATTATTATTATTATTATTATTATTATTATTATTATTATTTAAATGCTTTTTTCATTATCATCGATATCCTTATTAATAATGCACTTGTCATCGCGTTCGTGGGAAAAGCGTTAAACCCGTAAGAGTTGCGGAACGTCTGGGGAGAGAAACGAATCAGGTTTGATCCGAGGAAGGAGAGGCCAGCTCCAGTCCATCACAACGAGAGTATCTCACCAGCCTCCTTCATGTAGGTTCAGTGTACTGGGAAATAAACCACAGATCTAGGCCAGTAGACTCATGAAATATATATATGTATACTTTATATATATATATATATTATATATATATATATATATATATATATATATATATATATATATATATGCAAAACAACCACTCTGAAAGAATAGAGAAATTCCAAGCATTAGAACTGGACAAGATTCCAATGCTCTATTTATTCATGTAAGAGATTTTAACCATCCAATTGATTTTCAAAATGTTGAGAAAGTAGTATCAAGCAAGTCCATGGTCGACAGGAATATAATTGAATCTTGTTTCATAAAAAGCAGTTTTGACAATAATATGAATATTTCCTTTGGTTTATATAAATTAGATCCTTTTATAATTAATAGAATTTGGGAAGAATTTAATAATACACTGGACAAATAATAATTTTTAAATTTTCTTGGGTAGAATAGCTTGGGGGTGAGTTGTGCAAGGGACCTATCCAAGTTGGGTCGCCGCGCGTCACGTGTTTAACCGTTGTGGGATCTGATAGTGAGGTGCTGGCCGGACCCCTTATATAGCTTCCTTGGATGCTTTACTTTCATAGTTCCTTGATAATGTGAGTAGTCACGAAAGCGCTTGGAATTTCTCTATTCTTTCAGAGTTGTTGTTTTGCATATTTTGAAATCACCTGTTTACTGTGATCTTGTTGCATATATATTATATATATATATATATATATATATATATATATATAATATATATATATATATATATATATATATATATATATATAGTAAATTGACGGATACGACACCGTGCCATCCTGCTACGGTATTCTCTCTTTGAGAAAGCTTAGAAGCAACCATTAAACTGGGGACAGGTTGCTTGTGTGTGTGTGTGTGTGTGTGTGTGTGTGTGTGTGTGTATGTATGACAAAGGAGCGAAACATCGTGAATCATCTACCGTGTGTTTTTATACGTATGGTAAACAATACCTTGGGTGGATCACAGGATCAATGATATGCGAGTATATCTTAATACCTTAGCGCCCTTGTGGCTTAGCGCTTCTTTTTGATAATAATAATAATAATTAATACCTTAGCAAGGTATTCTTAAAGGTGTTGAAAAATGCCTTAAAATACTAACAAGTTAATAATTAAGGCACATGTGCAACAACAGTTGGGTATATTTATTATTGAAACGTTTCGCCCACACAGTAGGTTTCTCCAGTCAAATACAGAGGCAGTAGAAAGTCTGCTGCCACTGTGAGTGAGGACGCCTACTGTGTGGGCGAAAGGTTTCACTGAAGATATCCATGTGTCTTAATCCTGCTGTTAGTGAGAGGCTCTGACAGCTGACAGATCTCTGACAGCTGATACCTGGTATGTCTGAGAGTCAGTAGACAGACTGACAGCTGAAATCTGTCAACAAAACTAGGCATAACACTGAGAAAAAAATACCATTAGGCCATTTTCTCCCGATAGACGCTGCAGTACATGTCCATAGGGCACCGATAGGGTACATAACGATAGGGAAGGTACCTATAGAACCTCTACTTGTTACCTAATGACAGAGAAATATTGATTTGAACCTAGATAGACAGTAGTTCTCCTGGGTGACATCACCTGCTTAGCATCACTGCAGGAAATTCTGTTTCACGGTTACACTTCACATCGACAGACATCAATTTCGCATCAATACATCAATTTCACATTAATAGACATCAATTTCACATTAATAGACATCAATTTCACATCAACATACATCAATTTCACATCAATATACATCATTTTTACATCAATAGATTTCATTTTAATATCACTAGACATCAATTTCACATCAATATACATCAATTTCACATCAATATACATAATTTTCACATCAATAGATTTCATTTTAACATCACTAGACATCAATTTCACGTCAACAGACATTAATTTTGCATCAGTAGAACCAATTTCGCATCAATGGAATCAATTTCGCATCAATGGAATCAATTTCGCATCAAATTCACATCAATAGACATCAATTACATCTCCGAAAGACTTCAAGGATGTCCCCAGGTATCGCACTGATATCCAATAAGACAGAGTTTCGCTCTGTGGAAAGCGTTATCACGTTTCGCTCTGTGTAAAGCTTTATCACGTTTCGCCCTTTGCTAAAGCTTTATCAAGTCACCGACTATCGAACGGGGTTTAAAGCCTATCTACTACACGAGGATCGTCAAGGCTGCATCTCACAGTTCACCTCCAGTCAAGAAGGCTTTAAATCCTAGAAATGGGAATTCAGGCTTTAATCCCTAAAATATGGGATTAAATTAAGCTCTCAGCGTATATACACCAAGAGGCATATCAGTATACCTCTCAGGGTATATATCCTGTGAGTCACTGGCGTGGTAAAGCTCTACACGGAGTGAAACATGACTTGATAAAGCTCTACACGGAGTGAAACATGACTTGATAAAGCTCTGCACGGAGTGAAACATGACTTGATAAAGCTCTACACGGAGTGAAACATGACTTGATAAAGCTCTACACGGAGTGAAACATGACTTGATAAAGCTCTACACGGAGTGAAACATGACTTGATAAAGCTCTACACAGTGAAACATGACTTGATAAAGCTCTACACAGAGTGAAACATGACTTGATAAAGCTCTACACAGTGAAACATGACTTGATGAAGCTCTACACAGTGAAACATGACTTGATAAAGCTCTACACAGTGAAACATGACTTGATGAAGCTCTACACGGAGTGAAACATGACTTGATAAAGCTCTGCACAGAGTGAAACTTGATAAAGCTCTACACAGAGTGAAACTTGATAAAGCTCTATACAGAACAAAACGTTGACCCAGTACTGCTGGGGCGTCAGATCAGGAGAGAGGTATGACCGTACCCACACCGTAGTGTGGGTATGTCTGGGTACAGGAGTCTGGTGTGGGCGTGGGGCACCCCACGCCCACGTGACACGCCCGTGCGGCTCTGAACCACGCTTCTAAGATGGTTACGTTCTTGTCGGAGGGTGCGACAAGTAAGCCGCAGAGCGCGGCTGGGAAGAAAGGGGGGTGCCGCATGCGGCGAGGTGCAGCCAGGCAGCAGGTTGCGGCCCCCCGCAGGAGGGTATAGTGTTGGTTGAGGGCATAGCGGGGTATCCCCGCAGCAGTCGCAACCGTGCCCGTCAGGTAAACATCATCGATCCAAAAAGGCGGGGTAGTGGCTGCGGCACTGACGATAGCGGCTGCGGCTGGCTGGGTAGCAATATATGCCCATCCCGCCAGGAAGTTCGGGTACACGCTTCCTGGGTATTCCTGCGGCTTCACCTGCCACTTGCCGCCGCTACGCTGCGGTCGCAGACCCCTCTGGACCAGCCCAGCTGTCCACGGATCCCCAGACCGCAACCGCAATGCCCCGCCGCTACCAGTTTGCACCGTACCCCAGCGGTCTACCCATACCCCCGCCCGCAGGAGAGCCACCATGCCCCACACATCCACCATGATGTCGTCATCCATCTTGAGGAGATAGCGGGCACTGGGGCAGAAGCTAGGTGCCCAGGATAGTGCCAGGGTATGCTTGTAAGTTAAGTTACGATAGTGATCTTGGAAATTGGCCACAACCAGATCCCGGTACTGGGCACTCTCTCTCATTATCACATCCAAGGGCACGGCCGGGTAGCCTGCCTGCCCTCCTCTGCTGCCATCTGCCAGGAAGAATACTCGTTTAACACCCAGGGCGTCCAGGGCGTGCCAGGAGGCGTGGTTTCTGTGGGCGTGTCTTAAGAAGGCGTGGGACGGGTGAGACATAACCAGTAGGACCAGTAGTAACGGCCGGGTGCCGCATGCGGGACTGTTAGCTAGCAGGGAAACCGCAGGCAGGTCCAACAAAGGGGCGGGCGGGGGGTATAACTCCGGGTGGGCACGCAATGGTGGGCGGTGGTGGTGGGCGGTGGGTGGAGGCGGCAAGGCTGATTGACTAGCCTCCCAAGTAAATCCAACCACAAGGAACAAGGCTGCGGCTGTCACCACCGCAGCCGCAGCCTCTAGCCACACCAGCGGCCGTCTCACCATCCTTACACACACTTAAATTAGGTAAAGTTTGTCAGGAAACAGAACAAGTGTTTCCTGACGCGGGTCTTAGTCATATGATGACCCACAGCTGGAGCTTTTGGTCATCTGACCGAGGCCTTCCATTGGCTTACCCGTTACACCCACTGCCATCTCACAACCGACTGGAAGTGGAATCGATTCCCGGGTGAGATGAAACGTGTAGCCAAGTCACCTAACACCTGCTGTACCTGTTTACGCGGCGGTAAATAGGCACCTTTCTCCTTCAACATTAGGCGCAGTAATTTTCGAAGTTATTAGCACTAGGTACCCAGACATTAGTGAACTGCTGTGGGTGGCATCCTGGGGAGAAGCTAGGTAGAAACCCGAGAGAAAATAAGCCACGAGGCTTGGCTTTCTCGGGTTATCTAGGTTAGCAACGCGACTGATAAGGCCATAACAGACTTGTTGGTGTATACCTGGTAGGTCCTTCTCAAGTCCAGCCACATCACTCACATATTGGTCAACCACTGATGTCTTCTACGACAGTCTGGGTCAACGACTGATGCCTTCTACGACAGTCTGGGTCAACGATTGATGTCTTCTACGGCAGTCTGGGTCAACGATTGATGCCTTCTACGACAGTCTGGGTTAGCGATTATCTTCTTAGTATGGATTAATAACACGATTGACGTCTTCACTGTTCCAAGTCTTCAACGCCTAGCACGGGCTGGTAACGCGACTGATGTCTCCACTACTGCAAGTCCTCAGCATCAAGGGGATGTCCAGCAGCTGTGACGTCTCTGCCAGAGGTACTGTAGAGAGAGATTGATGTCAGTGACAGTACATCACATATACCAGATATTCCGTCCTATTGATGTCGGTGAAGGTCTTTTGATCCTAGGAATTGGAGCTACCCTTCCCTTGGATCAAACCTAATCATTTCCCATCCTCCAAAATAGAAAGGGATTATATTGGACACTTACACGTTTAGCGTTTCCCAATAATAATAATAATAATAATAATAATAATAATAATAATAATAATAATAATAATAATTGTAATAATGTTGGTAGAATTACCGACAATATGTAAAGTAAAAGGCCACAAGTCCACCTAATGTAACATTTTATTGTGGCAACGTTTCGCTCTCCAGGAGCTTTGTCAAGCCGTTACGGCTTGACAGAGCCGTAAGAGTTTTATTAATAACTAATTATTAAGGTACAATTATATTAGTATCAAGTGTATGAGTATTAATTCAACACAGGATACATACACCAAGAGGTGTATTTCTCTCAGTGTATACATGCTGAGAGTGTATTCCCTAATTTAGGGATAAAGAATTCTTGTCTGATGGACAAAAGATTACGTGGAGCCTCGTTATATATATGGACCCTCGTTTAGGCAGATCTAAAAATAAATAACACTAAAAATAGCTAGAATGGTTGCATTGACAATGGGTTGGGCAAATATTATTGATAGTTTGAGGTTGAGAAAGACATGCCTAGTATGGGCCAGTAGGCCTGCTGCAGTGCTCCTCTTTGCTTATGGTCTTATGTTCTTAAGGTGAGTATAAAGCAATGATTCATTATAAATAGGTTACTTTTAATAGCATTAATTTGTACTCTATACCTTTATGTGGGTGACAGAAGATTACAGAGGCACATAGTGGGTCCAGGAACTGTACCTCAACATTACAGAGGCACATAGTGGGTCCAGGAACTGTACCTCAACATTACAGAGGCACATAGTGGGTCCAGGAACTGTACCTCAACATTACAGAGGCACACAATGGGTCCAGGGACATATATAATATATATATATATAAATATATATATAATATAATATATATATATATATATATATATATATATATATATATATAATATATATAATATATATTAGCTGGGATATATTAATTTTATTTTGTGCTTTAGTTGAAAGAATTATTGAGGTAACATATGTAATATTAAGTGGTGATAGGGAGAGTCTGGTAATTTTCAATGTGTGTGTGTGTGTGTGTGTGTGTTGTGTGTGTGTGTGTGTGTGTGTGTGTGTGTGTGTGTGTGTGTGTGTGTGTGTGTGTGTGTGTGTGTGTGTGGCACAAGACATTATTGTCAAAATGGAATGGGAAAAATGAGTGTTGGTCATTAACAGTAAATGTTAATCAGCTGACGTGCTGCTGCTGCTGCTGCTGCTGCTGCTGCTGCTGCTGCTGCTGCTGCTGCTGCTGCTGCTCCCCGCTAAGTCAACACAACCACAGGTGCTCTGACTGCTCTCTATACCTGAGTTCAACACTCCCACACTCTCGCATACAAGTGCACTCACGAAGAGTCTTGAATACGCACACACACACACACACACACACAAGAGGGTCAGGGGAGACATGATAACGACATATAAAATAATGCGAGGAATTGACAAGGTGGACAGAGACAGGATGTTCCAGAGATGAGACACAGAAACAAGGGGTCACAGTTGAAAGTTGAAGACTCAGATGAGTCAAAGGGATGTTAGGAAGTATTTCTTCAGTCATAGAGTTGTCCGGAAGTGGAACAGTCTGGCGAGTGACGTAGTGGAGGCAGCAACCATACATAGCTTTAAGAAGAGGTATGAAAAATCTCATGAACCAGGGAGAGAGAGGACCTAGTAGCAATCAGTGAAGAGGCGAGGCCAGGAGCTAGGAATCGACCCCTGCAATCACAAATAAGTGAGTACACACACACACACACACACACACAACACACACACACACCACACACACACACACACACACCACTTCTTAAATCACACACTATAACCTTAAGAGCCGGAGGAGCCGGACACTATAACCACCACACGCTACACAGGAGCCGGACACTATAACCACCACACACTACACAGGAGCCGGACACTATAACCACCACACACTACACAGGAGCCGGACACTATAACCACCACACACTACACAGGAGCCGGACACTATAACCACCACACACTACACAGGAACCGGACACTATAACCACACACTACACAGGAGCCGGACACTATAACCACCACTCACTACACAGGAGCCGGACACTATAACCACCACACACTACACAGGAGCCGGACACTATAACCACCACACACTACACAGGAGCCGGACACTATAACCACCACACACTACACAGGAGCCGGACACTATAACCACCACACACTACACAGGAGCCGGACACTATAACCACCACACACTACACAGGACCGGACACTATAACCACCACACACTACACAGGAGCCGGACACTATAACCACCACACACTACACAGGAGCCGGACACTATAACCACCACACACTACACAGGAGCCGGACACTATAACCACCACACACTACACAGGAGCCGGACACTATAACCACCACTCACTACACAGGAGCCGGACACTATAACCACCACTCACTACACAGGAGCCGGACACTATAACCACCACTCACTACACAGGAGCCGGACACTATAACCACCACACACTACACAGGAGCCGGACACTATAACCACCACACACTACACAGGAACCGGATACTATAACCACACACTACACAGAAGCCGGACACTATAACCACCACACACTACACAGGAGCCGGACACTATAACCACCACACACTACACAGGAGCCGGACACTATAACCACCACACACTACACAGGAGCCGGACACTATAACGACCACACACTTCACAAGAGCCGGACACTATAACCACCACACACTTCACAAGAGCCGGACACTATAACCACCACACACTACACAGGAGCCGGACACTATAACCACCACACACTACACAGGAGCCGGACACTATAACCACCACACACTACACAGGAGCCGGACACAGTACACTTCCGGGATACATAATTTCCCAGGAAACGCATATAACAATGCATAAAACAGATGTCTAGAGTATTTTAGTGGTTAAGAGGAAGTGAGTGGTGAGTGGGGGACTGAGTGGGGGACTGAGTGGGGGACCGAAAGTGGGATTTTATGGGGACTGGGAGAATTTTCAAGTTAGTTTTATTTCTGTATTATGCACCCCATACCCATGATGTGGGCGGCTGATTACTGAGGTACATAATGAGTCCAGGGACTGTACCACAACATTACTGAGGTACATAATGGGTCCAGGGACTGTACCTCAACATTACTGAGGTACATAATGGGTCCAGGGACTGTACCTCAACATTACTGAGTACATAATGGGTCCAGGGACTGTACCACAACATTACTGAGGTACATAATGGGTCCAGGGACTGTACCTCAACATTACTGAGGTACATAATGGGTCCAGGGACTGTACCACAACATTACTGAGGTACATAATGGGTCCAGGGACTGTACCTCAACATTACTGAGGTACATAATGGGTTCAAGGACTGTACCACAACATTACAGAGGTACATAATGGGCCCAGGAACTGTACCTCAACATTACAGAGGTACATAATGGGTCCAGGGACTGTACCTCAACATTACTGAGGTACATAATGGGTCCAGGGACTGTACCTCAATATTACTGAGGTACATAATGGGTCCAAGGACTGTACCACAACATTACAGAGGTACATAATGGGCCCAAGAACTGTACCTCAACATTACAGAGGTACATAATGGGTCTAGGAACTGTACCACAACATTACTGAGGTACATAATGGGTCCAGGGACTGTACCTCAACATTACAGAGGTACATAATGGGTCTAGGAACTGTACCTCAACATTACTGAGGTACATAATGGGTCCAGGGACTGTACCTCAACATTACAGAGGTACATAATGGGTCTAGGAACTGTACCTCAACATTACAGAGGTACATAATGGGTCTAGGAACTGTACCTCAAAATTACTGAGGTACATAATGGGTCCAGGGACTGTACCTCAACATTACTGAGGTACATAATGGGTCTAGGAACTGTACCTCAACATTACTGAGGTGCATAATGGGTCCAGGGACTGTACCTCAACATTAGAGGTACATAATGGGTCTAGGAACTGTACCTCAACATTACTGAGGTACATAATGGGTCCAGGAACTGTACCTCAACATTACTGAGGTACATAATGGGTCCAGGAACTGTACCTCAACATTACTGAGGTACATAATGGGTCCAGGAACTGTACCTCAACATTACTGAGGTACATAATGGGTCTAGGAACTGGGCCGCAAAGTTTTGATAGTTGAACAAGTTGCAGTGGTAATGAACATGTTTCAGTGGTAATGGACAAGTTACAGTGGTAATGAACAAGTTACAGTGGTAATGAACATGTTTCAGTGGTAATGGACAAGTTACAGTGGTAATGAACAAGTTACAGTGGTAATGAACAAGTTACAGTGGTAATGAACAAGTTACAGTGGTAATGAACAAGTTACAGTGGTAATGAACAAGTTACAGTGGTAATGAACAAGTTACAGTGGTAATGAACAAGTTACAGTGGTAATGAACAAGTTACAGTGGTAATGAACAAGTTACAGTGGTAATGAACAAGTTACAGTGGTAATGAACAAGCTACAGTGGTAATGAACAAGTTACAGTGGTAATGAACAAGTTACAGTGGTAATGAATGAGTTACAGTGGTAATGAACAAGTTACAGTGGTAATGAACAAGTTAGTTGTAATGAACAAGTTACAGTGGTAATGAACAAGTTACAGTGGTAATGAACAAGTTACAGTGGTAATGAACAAGTTACAGTGGTAATGAACAAGTTACAGTGGTAATGAACAAGTTACAGTGGTATGAACAAGTTACAGTGGTAATGAATGAGTTACAGTGGTAATGAACAAGTTACAATGGTAATGAACAAGTTACACTGGTAATG